GCCCAGCGGGGAGCCAGGCAGGGCCAGCAGGTTGGCCACGCTGGCAAGTTTGGCGAAGAACTGCTGGGCGAGCTGCTCGAAGCCAGCGCCGCGCAGCCACTCCAGGAGCAGCCGCATGCTGGCCTGCAGCTTCACCCCCTGCGACCAGTGGAAGCAGCCGAGAGAGGAGCCTGCGGAGGCAGAGCATTCATCAGCACGTGTCAGGGAACAGCCCCCCGGTACCCCCATCCTTTGGCTGGAGCCCAGCCCCTGCCCCAGGGGTAGAGCTGCCCCAGGGCAGCAAAATAAATCCAGGTTAAGGTCCCCAGCATCCTATAGCTGTAACTCCTGGTGGTGGCTGGACCTCACCTGGCACTAACAGCAGGCAATGGGGCTGTTGTGTTAATGAGGGCTAACGAGCACCTCAGTTACAAAGCAGGCTGCAGTAGTTTGTTAATGAGCTGCCCCTCCAAACTGCTCTCAGCCTCCTCTGCTCGGGCTCAAAAGGAGCCTCAAAAACCCTCTCTTGCAGGGAGTGAGGATGGGGCACTTGTGGGGTTAAACCCCTCCTGGGAATGGGGACCCTGGAGACAGCAGCTGGGTCTGTGCTTGGCCTCCCCATAACAGTGCTGAGACCTGCCCATCTCCAACCCCCTCAAGCTGCCTGAAGCCCCCCCCGTACCCCCCGAGGTGGCACTGGGATGGACTGGAGGGTCTCCCAAAGGGCCGGTCCCCTGCAGGTTACCTAGTCCAGGCTGGGTGTTCGAGGAGGACTGACCCTTATCCAGGAGCTGGTTGAAGAGCAGGGTGTTGGAGAAGAAGAATAGGTAGGCGAACATCTGGGAGGTGATCTCCGGGTGCACTTCGTACTGGCGGAGCAGGTCCAGCGCCGCCTGGTAGATGAGCACGACCCTGCGGAGCTCCTCGGGCAGCGGCGGGGACACCCGCCAGCTCTCCCGGCACTCGTTCTGGAAGGGGTTACACTCCAGCAGGGCAGGGAGCGACACATACAGACACTGCAGGGAGAGCAGCAAGTTCACAGCAGGACTGATTTAGTTTCTTTTTTTTTTTGCATGACCCAAACCCTTCCGACCCCCTCACCTCCGCAAGCCGAGCAAACCCCGCTGGCGCTGCTCCAGCAAGGGGCTGCTCTTGCTTCCCCCCCCCCCCCCACGCGCTCTGGTGTTGCGCAAGTGTTTAAAAAAAAAAAAAAGAATGTCTCACGCTTTTAGCAGTTGGAGGTGACGGCATGGGACAGCTCAGCTAAAGGGATCTGAAAAGTGATCTGAACCAGGGCAGTGGCTGATCAGCTGGGCACGAGGGTGAAAGAAAAACCGGGACTGATGGGGATGACCTTTCCCTATTGCTTAAATGGGAGAGCAGCACCTAGTACCCACCTCTGCCGAGGCTAAGGGGGAGGCGAGGGTGCTGGGGAGGAGGGTGCTGCTCCGGCAGAGTGGCGCAGGAGCAACCCCTATGTCCCCGCGTGCCGACGCCAGCAGACAGGCAGGGCCATCCTGCACACAACAGCCTTTCTCCTGCCTCACACTGCCCGCTCTGTTCCCCGCTCCCGATGCCGCCCGGCTCTCGCGGTCCAACGGCTACAGTCCAGGGGCCCCTTTCCATCGCGCCCTGAATCGCACCATTATGCCGCGCTGGCCGGAGCCAAGCAGCTCTCCCCAAATGCCTCCCCTGA